CCCCCCCCCCCCCCCCCCAAAAAAAAAAAGGGGACGCTATAAACAAGATGTATTTTTGTTTGCAAAGGTTAAAACTTCACCAAAAAAAACTTCTAGTATTTCAAATGTGGCTACCAAAAGAGTAGCACTCAATCCAAGGTCATTAAAATAAAAATGGTACTCCAATATTGGCCCGTTTCTGGTGATCGGAACTCCAGATATCCCTCAATCGAACACGCAATCCATTTCGGCGTTTGAGTACATTTCGGGCTTTCAATACACTATGCTTGGCACATTGGTTGCAAGCTTTGGGGAATGTGTTCGCATAGGGTGACTTTAGTTAGTAAATGACTGAGGTTGAGGTGTACTAGTGAGCACAGTGACCGGAAAATGATTGATAACCTGCTAAAATCTTTTTGATGAAAGATACAACTAACTTTAGGTATTTTATCGAGATAAACTAAAGTTCAGAGACTTGAATGGGGAAAAAAACGTCTGACAACCGGTAAAATTTGGTGTATGATTCATTGCAAATTGACCAATAAACCTCTACACATCCCTTTCAAAAAATACCCGTAAATAGATTTAAAGAACATGACTCATCATTTCGTTAACTCGATCAAGGACAATAAACAAATCCCTTCAACACAACACTCACTCTCTCAGACACAAAAATGAAGGGAAGTATTAGGCATCAGGATGGGACGGTATTCCCAAAAAGATGCATCCACAAGCACATCACTTTTGTTTCATTTTTGCATCCCCTTCAGATGATAAGACCCTATACTTTAGCCACCCCCAGAACCACCACGACAATGACACTTGACTGGACCGGACCCATACTGACCCAACTGTTGGGAGGTTGGCTGACCTGACTCGAGACGACCTCAGACACCCAGACATCTTCCTCAATCTGGACTTGAAATTCCCCGGCTCGACTTCTTTATATGCTGTGAGAAAGAGAAATCGAATTAAACCATTATAGTTTACAATAAATCAATCAATTTCACTATGATTTAGAAAGCACTCAACCCCTAACAAATTGGCAAGCATACCTCTATCCATTTTTAGGTATTTTAAGTAGCAAATTAAAATGGTATACGGAGTATATAGACAAGGTGATATATCACCATCCAGATGAGTAAATGCAGAACAAAAGTGAGAAAAAAACTTAAGGGAAAAGAATTAAGTCTAATAAACTCACACTCAGCCAAAAGAGAATCCACCAGCAGGGACGTTAACATCATTTCCTCCAAAATTAAATCCATTTTGAGTGCCATCATCCGTAGGCAAAGTCTCTTCCTCGTCATCTAACCAATATGTCTCCAGTATTTTAACTGCCTTCTCATATATTTCAGTGTTGTCATGACTCTGTAGGTTTTCAATCTTCTCCAGACCATCAGCATCATCAATAAACTGTGCATAATTATTAATGTCCTCGTTGTTTTCCTTTTCTGCTTCCCCGGCTTTCAATATGTTTTCCAACCCTTCCAAACACACAGTGACTATCCTTGGATCAGGACATACAAGGAGGTCACACAGAGGTTTTATGCAACCCTGAGTAACAAAGAACCTAAACATTCACAAAAAAAGGTCAAAACTTGATGTAACATGAAGCACACCAAATTGAACCTAATAGGGATAAAATGTCATACTTAATTTGTTCATTGTTTCCACCAGAAGTAGCATTTGATATAGCCCAAGCAGCTTCTTTCTTGATGTCGAATTCAGAGTTTTGAAGCAGATTCACCAGAGGCCCAATTAATCCAGCATCAATCACAGCCTGTATTTGGGCCATGTTCCCAGCAGTTATGTTGGAAATTGTCCAGCAAGCTTCTTTCTTGATGCTCTTTTTGTGACTATGAACCAACAAACTCAACAGGCAAGGGAGGGCACCACAATCAATTATGCACTAAATAGGGAGAAAAATTAGAATTGTCAAAATCTTAAATTTGTTAGGGAAGTGATCTAAAGAAGTAGGGAATTATTTATGCTCAAACAAAAAATATGTTGGGGAAGTGGATAAAAATTTGGAAGGTCCCGAATAGAAGCTAGGAATATTCATTAATCAGCTTGGGGATCAAGGGTCTCTTTTTTTATAAAAAGTAAAGAATGAGAATTAGTGAATGAAAGAGAAACAGAAAATAAGCTTCCCTTGGAGACACATGCAATGATGTGCAAAGGAATGATCTCATAAATATTTTTTATATAAAAAAACACATAAAAATTCAACAATAACCCATTCAGTAAGATGCCATATAAACCTAGAAGTATTCCAACTAAAGCACTTTTAATGGTGTGTTGGTGTTGAACCAACCAACTGAAAGGCCACAAAAAGGCAAGTTTACCTGAGTTTGAACATCATCTCCAGTAACAATATTTCCGACAGTACGAAGGGCAGGAATGAGTACTGAAGGAGATGGGTGGCTGAAAGTCAAAACCATGATGTATGAAAAATTCATTCAAAATAATAATGATAATAATAATGATAATACTCCGTAATAATACATAGAAAATGACTTACAGAAGAAGTTCAACCAATCTTTGGCAAACACCTGTCTCAATGACAGCTTGAATTTTGTCGTTTGTACCATCTGAAAGATAAGAGAGTGCCCAGCATGCATCAGTCAAAACCTCTTCATCATTTGCATGAACAAGGCCCTGCAAAGCTGCAAGTGCCGGTCTCACCTGCAAAATACATCAATCATAATTAAATGCAGTCCATAACAAAAAACAAAGAGCATCCCTTACATAAACATACACTGTTCGTAAAAATAAATCCACAAAACCTGCTCAAAGGGAGGTTGAGGCTTGCCCCTGCAGAAATTTGATAAAGTCCATGTGGCATTTCTCAGCATTGAGAGCTTCGCGTGCTCATTCAATTGAGTCAGTAAAGGAATCAATGCCCCATGGCCAAGGACAAGATCACGACACATTGGAGAGTCCCCAGCAATATTTCCCAAGGCCCAAACAGCCTACAGCCTCAACAAAAAACATGTCATAAACCAATAAATGAACATTAAGCTAAGTGCCAGTTTGCTGTGCATTTTCTGGATCAGCCAGAATTTTTAACCAAGCACTAGTCAATTTTTTACTATTACTTCCTTTGATTCACTTGAAAAAATCATATTCATTCAGCCACTTCGGCTACAAACTAAAATGATTCAACCGCTTAATGAATGTTAGGTATTACGAAATGGGCTATAAGGTTGCACACCAAAGCGTATGAACAATACAAGTACCTGCTCACGAACGTCATCACTAGGGGAAGCCAATAGCTGGACAAAAATGGGAACAGCCCCGTGATCAATAACGACCTTGGTATTTTCTGAGGTCCCAGAGGCAATGTTTGTGAGTGCCCAAGCAGCTTCAAACTACACAAAGAAGACGTGTACAACAGAGTAAGCAATTAATTGCAAGTAGGTATGTAATTATGCAACAGAAAAGTGATTTCAAGTCAACTCACCTGAAGCTGTGGTTCCTCACTAGCCAGAAACTCAACAAATCGAGGGACCACTCCAGATTGTATAACTTCATCAATGGGGGGACTTCTTTCTGGCAATTGAAATGCAAGATATGTAACATTGGAGTGAATATATGCAAACACGTATGAACCTAGACATAAAAATAAACATAGATACCGATCGAGAGCAATTTCCGGATATGTGAGGTTGCCTCAAGCTGCAACTCTTTATTGTTTGACCAAACAGCTTCTACTATTCGAGGAAGACTTTCTATCTGCACTTCAACAATTATAAAGCTCAAATAGTCAACCAAGTAGAAATCATTCAAATCCGAATAAGTAGCAACGCAAAATCCAGATGAACCAAAGCAAATTAGCGACGGAATCTCACGTGAATAAATGTATACGAGTGAAAATTGAGAAAGAGAAATACCTTCTTGTCGAAGGCGGATGCCGGGACGGAGGTGGGAAACTGCTGTCCTTGGAGCCCCTCACGGCGCTTCTTAAGCAGATTCTCCTCGCGCTTACTTTTGCGGATCTCCACCATGTTGTCCTCCCTGCGGCGACGGCCCTCCTCAGCGTCCACCGCCGATTTGTACTTGCTCCGGCGGACCTCGGTCCTTTCACTCGGCCTCAGCGACATCGTCGTGTGCGATCAAAAAAATCTACTCGGAGAAGTTTTCACGAGCACCTGATCGGAGGGAAGAGGCGGAGTGGGGCAATGGAGAAGAAACGGCGAGACCGGTAAATATGGGCCGGCAAGGGTAATTATTGGGCTCCTTCTCTTTTGCTTTTTTTAGCGCACATAAACCTAATGCTCTCCGTATTACGTAAGTATAATGGGCCGTTTGGTCTTTGTTTAATTGAGTTTTAATTCTCAACTTTCAATATTTTTTAACTATTTTTCAATTTCTTTTAGGCCTCGTTTGGTACATGGAATTCAAATTATGGAATTGGAATTGAGGACTTCAATTTCAATTCTGGTGTTTGGTAGCTCAAAAATTATGTGGATTTGAAATTGTTGTGCAAAAAATGAATTGGAATTAGTGAATTCAATTCTATGGAATTGAATCACATGAAATTCTAATTCCAATTCAATTCCAATTCCATCAATTCTGTGTACCAAACGAGCCTTAGTTTCTTTTAGTTTCTAAATTTAAATTGTTTTTTTACTCTTTTCAATTAAATCTTTTTGTATTTTAAACGGTAAAATTGCCAATCTATTATAAATAGAGTAGATTTAGCTAAAATGGGCGTTAAATATGAAACTTAATTTAATACATACGAATTTGTTTAGGCATTATACATTGGTAAACTACGTAGAAGGAGGATCTCGCAAAGCTATGGTAAACGGCGTAGAATGATGTTTTCGTACAAATGAGACGCACGAATGAGGAGGAGCCGCACGTATGAGGAGGAGTGGCTACGTGAATAACCTAAGTTTAATCAAATAATTAAAAGTAACTAAAAATAGTAGAATATAATAAAAGGTAAAGGGTATGTTTGGAAGATATTGACATTGTAAATAGCGAAATTCGTATAAAAGATTAAGTATTGCTATATGCGTAATATTGAGTGACTTATAGTAATACGTAGGATGATTTCTTCGTTTTCAACTCTGTCCGTCGAGTAAAACATGATGTTGTTAACGACTATATAGAATATTGATGAGAGGTCGTCAATTTTGATGCTAAAATTGAGACCGATGAGAGTTAAATCATGTTTCCGCCCATGTAGGGGCTGAATCATTAGATGTAATTTTTTATGATTCAAAGGTTAGTACTTTCGTTAATATGAATCTAAAATGCATATAGATTAACAACATTGTAATGGTGGTAATATATACTTTTTTCCTTTTCATCGTTAGGGAAATCGAATACATGCGCAGATCAGAGATTCAAATATACACACTTTCAAAGAAAAATTTAAAAGAAGATAGTGTTTATTTATTGAAGAAAGTGAAAGTATTACTAATGAGAGTTTAAAATTTTATATATTATTCAAAAAAAAATTATATTATTCAAAAATGATCTTAAAACATAATAGTATTCTTGTTTTGGGGTCTTTTCCCAAATTCTAATCCTAATCTCAGTTGCTCTGAATTAATGACAGATTTCTATCACACAAAAAAGAGGAAAATGTTAAATATGACAGATATATTTCTCATACTCCGTATTATTTAGAATATTTGTTTTTCTTGTTTACCTAGACTTTACCTCCTCATGTATATCTATAAATACCCCGATATATCATGAATAAAGCACCGAGTTCACAACACGTTATCAGCACGAGACACAAACCCTAATTTTTTTCCGCCACTTTTTTCCCTTCCCCGTTCTCTGCTGTGCATCGTTGAAGCATCGCTGCATCGCAGAGAAGTAAGAAACCCAGCATCTCAGAGAAGTAAAGAAACCCATCCATCCGTTCTCCCGTGTCTCGCCAAAAAGAAACCCACCCACCCAATTCGATTTCGAGATCGGGAAAGGAACAGAGCAGCTGAATTTCGGATCTTATTCTCAATATTCTCAATCCCAAAAGTCCAGGAACAGAGAAATAAAGATCCGTTGAGCATACCCATGATTGTCCAATCCTTAGATTTACATAAAGATCCTTATCGCCCCTAAGAAGAGGGTGAATAAGTACTTGGCCCAGAAGTACCATGTTTAAGCGCGATTGGTGCACTCATGTACCTTGCAAATAATACAAGGCCTGATATTGCATTCTTAGTACATCTATTGGCAAGATTCAGTCCAAACCCAACACGTAGACATTGGAAGGGGATAAAGCATATATTTCGATATATTTGTGGGACACGAGACTTATGTCTCTTTTACCAAAAAGGTGGAGAGTCCCAACTTGTAGGGTATGCTGATGATGGGTATCTATCAGATCCACACAATGCACGTTCTCAAATAGGTTATGTGTTCACATACGGTGGTACAACAATTTCGTGGAAGTCAACAAAGCAAACACTAACAGCAACATCATCAAATCAAGCTGAATTGGTAGCACTTTATGACGCTGGTCGAGAGTGCGTTTGGTTGAGATCGATGATTGATCATATACAAGGAGCATGCGGTTTGGAAAAAATCAAGAAGAATCCTACAATTATATATGAAGACAATGCATCATGCATAGCTCAGATCAAGGAAGGCTACATCAAGGGAGACAGAACGAAGCACATTTCATCAAAGTTTTTCTCAACATCTGATCTGCATAAAGAAGGAGAGATCAATGTTCTTCAAGTTAAATCAAGCAAAAATTTGGAAGACTTATTCACCAAATCTCTGCCTAAGCATAGTTTCAAGCAACTCATAAAGAAGATTGGACTTCGCAGGCTGAAAGAGATAAATTAGTTTGAGGGGGAGTATAATTTTATTTGGAGGAAAACATTATACATGTTGTACTCTTTTTCCCTTAATTAAGTTTTGTCCCATTGAGTTTTCTTAATAGAAATCATCCTAAATAGTACTAAAACATAAATGCCAAAATAGGACTTTCATGTTTTTTTTCCCGGAATAGGACTTGGCACTGTGGTAATGTGTCTTTGCATTGTGGTTATGTGGCAGTGTACATGTGCAAATTACTATACTTTTTTGGTAATGTATATGACCATGTTTGGTAATGTAAGTCCTATTTTGGGAATAAAAACTTGGAAGTCCTATTTGTGTATATTCTCAATGTTTTAGTCCTAGTTTGGTCTTTCTCCCTTTTCTTAATAAGGTTTTTAATGAGGCAGCTTAACTGATCCTGCAGTATGAGTTAATATATATCCTGAAGAACCTAGCCAACATTATCGGGTAGCATAAATGTTGTTAGTGTATAATGTATGATGATATATCTGAGGGGGCATTAAATATGGCAAATATATTTCTCATATTATTTAGAATATTTGTTTTTCTTGTTTACCTAGACTTTAAGTTCTCCTGTGTATCTATAAGAGGGTGTTTGGCAGTACGCTGCTTTTAACAATGTAGCTTCTGCTTTGAGTGGAAGTGATTTTACTCTGTTTGGCATGCCAGCTTCTTCTTTTCACCAACATTATTTTGTACATGGAACACCGTTTCAAAGAAGCAAGTATGAGGTGCTTTTGCTTTCAGCTTTTGTAGAAATCACTTTAAATCCTGGGCAGAATAATACTCCCAATTCATAAATCCGCAAGGGTCGTTGCTAAATATCCTCTCACGAATCGGCGGCGAGGTAACGAATCTCTGTTGGCTATCTTCTTCAGCCAATCAGGTCTATTTCTATTCTTCGCTTGCTGTTCAATTTCTTCCTGATAGAGAGGTATATAATTCGGTATATATCAATTAAATTTATGTTTGTCTGATTTGTATGCTTTTCCATGGATTTAAGGTGTTAGAGAACGTTGACGATGGTTACCACCCCAGGGCCACCTGTATCTGAGGTAATTTCTTTGTCGCTTCAAACTCTCTGTTCTTCTTCGAATTAGTTACGGCTTGTTCTGTGTTTCCCGGTTAAATTCTGATACTATGATGGTGTTTGGGGTTGCACTTAAAAACTGCTTATGAACTTTTGTTTCTTTAACCAATCAGGTTTGTCTTGATTGCCAATGTGTTTCTGCTTATAGATTATGATTTCTCTTTAAAACTTCTGCTTTTTTCAAGAATCTACCACACTTCCAAACACCCTCTGTAACTTTTACATGTGATACATGATGCAATCATAGCCGGAAGGGCCAGGAATAGTGTAAATTAAATCATATTTTATTTTTGTTTATCTTTTCTGATCAGACTTTTATGTTTGCTTTACTTGTTTTTCTCGTGTTGAAGTTGAGCTTTGATGAATCTGAACCCGCGGCTTCATCACACATTAATAATACATCCAGCCGTCCCCGTCCCGATTGTCACACTTACAAATTTCGTTCCGGGAATGTAGGTCTTTTTCCCTTTTCCCTTTTGTATATTATACCTTATGCGTAAAAATATCTTTATCCATTATTATCCTTCTTCGTTAGGTTTGACTTGTTTCTGTATTCGACTTTTCTCTCCTTGGCAGCCTTTTGGTTTACCTAAGTATGAAAAGGGAATGACAACACTTGGTTTTAGCTACGAAATGGGGGCTATTATAGCTGTTGAGCACTCAAACAAATGTGAGTTTGTTTACCATGTTAACCATGTTTTTTGAGCATACATTGAAGTACTGCTTGCCTTACTAACTCTCATTGTCAAATTTAGCATCAACTTTTCCACCCAATGTTGTTAACCTGAGTTCGCACATGCTTGCCACAATTTCTGGAGGGCACGAAATTTTGCTCGGAAATCTGCGGAAGAAGGTAATTGCTTACACTAAGAATACAATGGTTTTCTTTGAATGGCTAAGGTGCAGTCTCAGAAAAGATTGGTCTAGAATTTTTGTTCACATTCATTGCATCACAGTGCCAACAACATGAACTAGAGGAGGGGAGAAGAACTAAAATTGCCGAGGCATTGCAGTGGCTGCGTGAGATTTTGTGTGCTTACGGGAAGGAAGATTTGGAAATAGGAATGCTCATAGCCGTGTGGGATGAAATGGATGAAACGGTGATTGCAATATCTTCAATTTTGCTTTTGCTCGGTCGAGTCTTGTAGAAATTGATCATTGTCGTTGTCCTTAATTGTAGGAACGAGGTGTATATCGCATCAATGGCAAGGGCGAATTATTAACTGAAGGCGAATCATTCCTTGCCACTGGATGTGGTACAGTTGGGGCAGTTTTGGCACTTGAGTATGTGATGATGCCGTATGTCTCTCTTACTTACCTATGTGTGTTTGTAATTAGCATGAGCTCTTTTAATATTAAATAAATAATAATAATAATAATAATAACGCACACTGGTTTTTCCCTACAGATACATGGACAAGGTGATTACGACATCTGAAGCTGCGGACTTGGCAAAAATAGCAATTTGCATCGACTCTTATACAGCTCCTGAAAGCGGCGATCGTGTCAGCGGTATTTTTCTCCAGACCCATTTGCTTTCTATCTTGCTTTTTTTTCCCCCCTGATGAATACTTTGTTCTTTTTGTTTTTAGTGTACCTCCTGGATAGTAATGGCTGTGTGGAGCTCCTTAATGATGATATAATAGAATGGCAAGATGAAAACATTGAAGCTCCAAGATGCAAGTTTGAATATATTGGACCGTGATGTTGTTGAATGGAGAAAGCAGAACACAAGAATGCACTAGTGATTGCAGTTTCCCCTTTGTTTTTCCTTGTGTTTTTTTTTGGGGATGGTTTTATGCCGCAAATATATTTGCTGGTTTTAGTTTACGCTGAGATAGTGACTCATCTCTATGCAATTCCTGTTAGATTGGATTCCTCGATTATCTGAGTGCTTTTAGTTTTACACCTACTGACTGACATGAACATGAGTACTCAAGTTAGTACAGTTTGTGAGTCTGGCTGGTTTAATTCACGGGCCAGCCCAATACTGGTTTGGGCATAATTGGAAGGATCAAATCCCGGTCTGAATTAGGCCGGTGATGGTTGGGCAATAATTTCAATAACCTGAACAGAACATCTCATCCATCCCCTTTCTTTGATGACTGTTTCTGTTATGCTCTTGAGGACTGTGGTCTTCTGGATTTATTGGATCTATTGAAGTCTTTTCGCCATCCTTGTGTTAGGCATTTCAGATTTGAAAATGCGTGGCTCCGAGAAGACACGAATTTGATAAAATAATAAAATTAATAGAAAAAGGACTAGTTGCAAAAATAAATATTTTACAGGGATGATTTGACAAAAAATATATTTTAGAGGGACAAAAAACAAAAATCATTATCAAAAGCATATTTAATAAACCCTTTATTTTAATATTCATTGTAACTTCCTTTAAACCACAACCCCTTGCAACTATTCCTTTAAACCACAACTATTAACGGAAACCATTTCTTCAATTCTTTATAAATGTCTGCCCACTATATATATATATATATTATATATATATATATATATATATATATATATATATATATATATATATATAGACACACACACACACATAAGGAAGCTAAGGCGATCATGCATACTCAATGCTGGAATAAAGTCGCCCATGGATCCCTTGGAATAAGTAGTATATATCCCAAACAAATGTATCACACTCTTTACCAACACCTCAGCTATCTTTCTTCTTTTAACATCCTCCATTTCTTGAATTGTGTATTTTTTTGGTTTTCTCTCTCCTTCTTAGACTATTTTCCATAGAAGAAGAAGCTTAAGATCAGAGGTCCATTAATGGCTAGTTGACTACTAAACTCAACCACCAAAATATAATAAAATTTATGGACTATTGTTCCTTCCAAATCATCAAGACATACACAACCCTAGCTTGTAGAGTTCAACAAACATTCGCCAAAGGAGTTTAATTAATATCTCATACCGGAGTATATGATAATCGAGTCATTTTATGGTGCACAATAGCATCTGATACTGAGTATTTTTGTTTTATCAAATTTCTCAAAGAGACTGATATGCTTTGAAAATTTAAAGCACTTAGTTGAACTAGATAATCGATTCAAGACAAGTAACCCATGACCCAGTATGTGTTTTTATCATACTTTAATTTAACTTTGATGGCAAATACCCAAAGTTTGTAATACAATTAAGGATTAGTAATACTCAAAATTAAAAGGTTGATGGCTAATATATACAGGTATTTTTTTATATATAAAAAAACATTAATACATTAGGTATGGAGTAAAATTTTGGATTATTTACACTTTCTGCACATGAGAATGATAATCTCAAACCAAAGAAAGAATCAAACAAGTTGCATGTACTTTTGAAGCTCCACCATTACCATATGCCGCCGGCTCTGATCATCTGCGGGCGGCGGCGGGCGGCGGGGCGACCTGGGCGGCGAAGCGTAGAAGGCGGAGGCGGCCATAACCTCGCGGTGGTTGTTCTCTTGGTCCTGCAGGAAGCGCTGGCCGCGCAAAGCGGACATGTAGAGGCCTGCGGCCATGAAGACGGTGAAAAGGCCAAAAACTCCGGCGGCTGAGAAGACGCCTTTTCCGACCACCACGCAGCTTGCCCTTGCATCTCTCCAGTTTGTGAGGTGCCCTGACTCTACACTCAGTCCTACTAGCAATAATATCTCCCCAACTGCAAATGATATCCTGTCATCACAATCAACACTTGCAAATTTGTAAAATCAAATTTTGTGTATATATAGGAAACTACATCATCACCACCACCACCATTATTATTATTACTATTATTATTGTTTTTTTATTATTTTATAATAATAATAATAATAATAATAATAATAATAATAATAATACGTGTTAGACAACTATGGAAACAATTGTAGTTATGGAAGAATTCTTATTCTAGTTAATTACCATATTTAGAGATCTTAATTGATGTAGGAATCTCTACCTATATAAACCACCTTGTACACCATTATTTCTTGAGTTGAATCATTATTCAATATTCAATATTTAATATTCAATAATACGGAATTCGTAAGAGCAACTTTAGGGGGAGAGGAAAGTATGAGTAAATGTTATGTGGCATGAGGGAAAGAAAGGGGAAGGATTAAACTGAAGAGAGGAAAAAAAGAGACAAGAGAAGTGGTGAATCTAGTCTCATCGAGTAGAGTTGTTTATTTCTTTTTTTTTGAAGGGTGGTGTTGTGTTGTTTTGGAGGCTAATCGTTCAACACAAGATTTTCTATTATTCCGCATAGGACTTTTTATTACTCATTGAATTTTTATCTCAATATTGGAGTATTTTTTAAATACTTCTTATGTAAACGAAATAAATTTATGACACGTGGGGTCTATCATTTAAAAAAGAAGGGAAAGTGCGAGGAATTATTAAAGTGAAGTGAGGAAAATTAAGAGAGAAATGATGTGAAATGGAAAAGAGGAGAGAGAAGAGGGAAAGTGAGGGGAATGGATAAAAACATTATTCTAATAGAATATGGTTTGGTTCTTTTAATTCAACACTTGATATCAAAATATGACACCAACTCAAGGACTCTGCGGTGCACTGTTTGGCATAGGAACCGAAAGGCCGGATGAGTGGTTAAAGGGTTCATGTTGGGATGGTTGTTGCTTGTCGGATGGAAGAGTGCCCCCATTGTCGTAAATAATGAATAGTGGGGGGTTGGGTGGGGTTTGTGAGGGGTAATAGGGGCAAGAACTCGTTTGGAGAAATAAAACACCGTAGGATTTCTAAATGACTTTGATTTCATATAATATGATACCAAACCGACATAAAAATATAGTATATCACAAGGGTTCATGTTTCGTACCATGTTGCAACAAAGAAGAACCCCGCTTGCCAAGTGAGGGACTTGACGAAATCAGAATGTGGGTCCCAATAGACTAACGATCCCGTCGGGGATTTGCTCACAGCAATCAAGAGGTAGACATGTTGCAACACCATGGCCAACGCCAAGGAGAAGAATGCAGCAGCCACGCTCATCAGTGGAATCTTCCCATCCCCGCTATACCTGCACTTGTTTTCCATCCATATTGCGTTGGAGCGTGTGGCTTCAGCAACAAGGGAGAGGATGAAGCACTGGAGGCCCAAAAGTATGGATACAACGATGACGAAAAGGCCCGTGTTGCTGCCCAGGTCGGTTTTCGGAGGGCTGGGGGCAAGATCAGTGTGCGTGACAGCCATTGATGGATATGGATGCAAGAGGGAAGGGAAAATGTACAATATAGAACATAATAATAAGGCTGGGATAGGATTTGAGAAGATGGATAAAAAGAGGCCTGAATTAGAATAGCTTGCAACAAAGGTTGCTTAAAGGCCAGATATTCCATGTTCACATACAGAGCTTTTCATCCAAGTTTTCACTCTGGATTCTCATAACAAATGTTTGCTTTTCTTGTTCTAAACCAGGAAAAGGGCAATAGCTAGTACACCTATTTTATTCATGATCAAAGGAATATAATAAACTAAACAAATTCCATATTGCAATATTTCATAACGGGGGAATATAAATGGAACAAATTCAATTTGGCTCATAGGAAGGTCTTCTTGTGTACATTAAAAAAAAAAATTTACAAAATTGTAAAAGTGTACTTAGCCTGACAGCAAATTGTGTGTATAAATAAGCTGTACAAGTTTGACTTTTGGACATTAACCAAAAGCGTGAGGTTATCGGAGATCAACTACGTCAAATTTCAAGTTTGGATTCATATACACATGAGAGCAGTGCTCATAGATGGGACTTCCATCTTCGGGTTCTTCGTGAGGATGGAAACCGCGCTGTTGGCAGTTCCGGATTATGGATATGCCGCTGGGATCGGACAAATGAAAGATGCCGTGAGGACTGCAACAACCACCACCAGAGTTTTTATTTAGTTCAGATGTTAAAACATTAGGAGTCCTAATTGAACAGAAGAAACTAATTTTTCTCGTATCTTAATGGGTTTTTTTTATAAGTAAAAAGTATCCTAAACAAGTTGAGCATTAATTTTTTTTAAGAAAGTTGAGCATTAGTATTAGGTAAACCACATTTTTTAAGAAACATGTTTTTTTCAAAAACATAGAAAAAGAGCCACATTTAGAGTAAATTGATTGCAATACAAACTTGCAATAGACATAAGCGTGGCTGGAAACAATGTTTACCTGGATTCGTCGGTGGGAGCCATGACAATTGCAATTGCCTCCGGCAACATAATCTAAAAATGAGCAAATAACAATTCCAATCAGGAAAGATCGGGGCTTTGTGCACATGTGTAAAAACAAGTACAGAGCAAAAAAAGGCACAACAATTTATAAATCAACTGAATGAGAAGTGAAGGCAATTTCTTAGCTTTAGTTTACAAGTAATTCCAGCAAAAAACTTATCAAGCATTAAGCACCAGTAATATCAAGTTATTTCTTAGCTTTAGCTGAAGTATATACTTATATGTGCCTGCTTAATATTATACACACACACACACACACACACACATATATATGTATGAAATACATTCAACTATAATACTCCCTCAGTCCCAAAATGATATATCTCTTTACCATTACGGCCTCTCGATAGCTTTTGTTTGTTTGTATGTTTTCATTGATCATTTGATAAACTAAAATATTCTTGTCACCTCTCGTTTTGTAAAACTTTTGATGTATGTAAGTTTTGTTTTTTATTTTTACATTGATTGTAAATAAAATCATTTTAAAAATTGCAGGATTTTGCAAGTGATTTGAATAGGGAATATCGTTTTGGGACAGAGGGAGTAACTTTTTAATTTTTTCCAAGGAAAGTTTACACAGTTGGGGTAAAGTGTTAGGGCTAAGCATGGATTTGGGCTTCCTGTCCCAAATATCCATTCTGAATTGCACGCACCAGAACCAATCACAATAATGTGTTAAAATCATTATGACTGCTTTGAAGTTTTTTTGAAATTATGGTAAAGTACTTGTTCCTTAGTGATTACTATACCAAAACAGCAAAATTGCACAGCGATCATGTTCTGTACCAATTACCATCATAAACAGTCCAGAAGAACCAAGTGCCCGAGTATTTAAGATATTAAGTATGTTACTAAATAATACGAGCAAAATATACTTCCTTCAATCCACATAGATAGACTTGTATTCTATATCGGTCCATCCTACAAAGATAGGCTGGTTTTCATATTAGGCGTGCGTTTAAGTTTCCATTTCCAAGTTTACTCTATTTAAACTTTCATTTCTAGAATCCCAAGACATGCTTAATTCATTAAATAACTTCACAAAAGGAGACAAGTGAGAAATGTATATGAAACTAAATGTTACACTTACACCTAAGTTTTCATTGTGACTTAATACGGGGTATTTTTTAATGAATTATTCCATACTAAGTTTTTTAAGCGAGTAGGGAATACTCTAATAGCACTAAAGAACCATCCCATATCGAAAGAGGGTACACAAGCAAAATGTCACATGTGCTATATCCATTTTCAGGACAGTACGGGTTTCTTCAATTTCAGAAGAACCATAGTTTTGGATAGAACAAGCCTTCCTTTAAATTTCAAATACAGAATTATTCCTTGGTTTTCAGGATTTACTTTCCACGTAATCATAAATAGTGTGATACATGCTTGTGAGGATGCCTCCACATACTCCCTCCGTCCCATATTATATTACAAATTTGGTTTTACAAGGCAAACAAGTTATCCAGAGGTTGAGGTACAAAACATTGTAATCAATTGTAGGACGGAGGGGGTATTATATATATATATATATATATATATATATATAGAGAGAGAGAGAGAGAGAGAGAGAACAGACACAAAAAGCTTTAGTACCTGATAGGAGTAATGAGTGTGCAAATCAACTGATGACATAAAACATGTTTGAGATGGATGTGTCTGCAAAGTTTCCCCAAAAATAAGTATCAATGTTATGTACAGCTTTCCAGAATAAGACCCGGATACATAGATAATATCTAAAGCACACATTTCTTAAAGACATTATTCATGCCATACTATATAGAAGTATCACTTTTTTCGCTTTGTAGATTTTACACTGATGAGTGATCATCAGATAAATGATGAGTGTTGAAGACAGATATTGTAACCCTGGCACATCCTATCTCTTAGTTTCTAGAAATTCAAAATAGGTTTCAATATGGCTCGATTGGCTCCAGATCAAAAACATCTTGATCACATGTTCTCCTTTCTAGAATTTAAGTTTGCCATTGCTTGTATAAGTTGTAGCCAATATTGCTGCAAGGTAGGCTTTTAATCCTTTTTTTCTTTAAAAATTGGCTGAGGTGTGGACAATAAATTGCACTCCTATGGCTCGATGTTTTTTTGTTAGTCCTATAGATAGTTGTGTATAAACTACACAGTAGGATAGCTAATGGTTGGCTAAAAAAATCATCATTGATGAAGAGACAAAAGTTCAGACCAATGCCTATAAATCAGAGAAATCCAAAAGAGAATCCTCTGCAGCGTGAAAATTTTAATCATATTAATTTTAGAATTGTGAATACCAAGCAATATTAAATCACAACTCCCACACTTCCATTAGATCAGACAAAGTAATAGAGAAAATAAAAGGTTTTGGGGGAAATTGTCACATCTGTAATAGCTGATTTATGGAAAAGCGAGAAGTCAAAAGGGTTATTATTGGCACTTACATGTATCCATCCAAGAGGAAACAAAGAGAGCTTGTCCTGGACCTCAAATATTTCTTCTTCATTTAATGTCTGGCACTGAATGCATAAATATGTCTCAGTATCTAATAACCATACTTCTTATTTTGAAGCTTCTAATCTGTGAATCAATTTATTTGCTACTAGTTAATCCTATATTGTAGCCTATAATTCTCTTTGTTTTTACTTTGAAGTATGCTGCTTCATTCCTTATTTAAAGCTATCCCGCCCCCTTCCCTCTCACGTTTTTCTTGTGCAGTTTCTCTTACTCCAAAGTTCCTTATACCTTTCATTATCTTCAAGACATGAGTACACGACCCATTGCAAAAGCTTCCCTTGCAATGTGTCAACTTATTTCATGTTTGGCCTTAACAAATAAAAACTATGTTAAGCATCAATTGCCAGAAGGAAGAATGCAAGGGTGCGGCATAAATTTTATACCCCCTCTGCCCCAAAAATAAGTTCCCGCTTTTTTCAAATAGTTTAAGCAAAAGGTTAAAAATGAAGTGTGGTTGAAAATTATGCATAGAAGAGAGATCACATAGACCACACAATTATTTCTTTAAAATGAAATGAGAATTTTGGGACGTTCCTAAAAGAAACGTGAGAGCTTAATTTAGGGATGAAGGGAATAATAGACAATGACCAACTATGAAGAAATGCCTTACTGAATCCGATGTTGACTCTTGCTTTGGAACTATAAGTGTAGTGATATGGAATACCCTGTTTTTCTGAAAATGAGCAAGTAGAACATATTAAATAACTAACATAGTAACATACTAACATGTAATGGAATAGAATCAATGATCATCTTTGACTCTAAGGCAAAGCATATTACCAGTGAACCAGCAAGAACACCACAAGTTTCCAAGTTCTTTATTGTATTAGCTCGTGCTAATCTCAAGAAATCTTCCATCATCTGTACTGGCTGCAATGTGAGTATAACAATGGTGACATCAATAAAAATTGCAACTGACAACCTTGGATGATAAAAATAGAACTATAGCTTCGTAAAAATAAATTCCAGGTAACTAGAGCTTACAATATGTAGATTTTGGTAAGAATTAGAACCAGCCATCCCATCTTGAGGTGGTTTAACTGGTCCCGGTCTTGGATCAGCAACTCTAGAAGGAGAAATTGGTCGATGCTCTGGTTGCACTTGTGCAAGGACAGGAGGGAGAGAAGGTTGCTGAATAATACTTGATGGAAGATTATCATTTCTCACATCATCATTAAACAAAGTATCCTCTGTAGGCTGCAACCATCTTCCATCATCCAATGAGAGAACAGATTCCATAGTAGGATTATCAACTTTTGTGTCAGCATCCTTGACCACATTGGGAGCAAAGTGTCCACTCTGAATGAGACTTTAACAGTACACATGCAACACTTCAAAATTACATAACAAGGTATATTGGAAGGTAAAATGGAAAACCCGTGGCAAAAAATACAAAAAAAATCAGATTGAAGCCTAGAAGGACAGAATAAACATACTCCCACACATGAATGCCAGGGAAAATAAAAATATGGAGTGCATAGCATTTTTAGGGTCCTAACCTTGACATGTCGGAAGCAAGATCGGTATTGGTTGGGTAGTTAACCTGCAAATAGTAAAAACTAGTAATAACTAAAAGTGACTACTGGCCAGCTAGCATGTTGCATAATATAAAATGCAACGATAAATAAAGTTACCTTTATCTCAGCACTAGGTCCAAGCCATTGGCCACGAAGACCATTTGGGCCTAAAAATGAGTGCCTTGACAGCGTTTCTTGCTTTGGAAGTGGAAAAGAGAGAGCCCTGCACATTGTCGTCAAAACTATTGTTATAATTTATGTAGAATGCCAAAGAATTCATGTTGATAAAGTGATATTTTGAGTTCACGCTCATGTTCTTACTATTTGGCTACAAAACCAAAAGAAAATTGTCTTGCAGAAAACATGCTTAAATGGTAATGTTCCATGATTGCATGGTTATTTTACAGTATCAATCATGTAAAAGACATGCCAATATAAACTATCTCATCTCATCAACTCATTGTTGTCTCGTGGTATTTTCCGTGAATCATGAATGCAGAGATAACCTATGATGATAATGATTTTAAAACTTTGTGGCAAGATTACTTCATAAGAAAGTGAAGGGTGCAACAAGAAGAGCATCTAACTCAAAACCTTACCAGTATTCTTTATTTTTGCTTGAATTCATAATGTTAACTACATTTAAACACTTAATTGGGACTATAAATTTGATGGCATCAGCCTCAATTCGTTGGGATTGGGGATTTGGGGTATGATGATGAGAAACAAGTTAGGAGTCACAAGACTCGCAACCATAGAGTGCAGAGAGATGCTAAACCCACTGAGACACTAATAATACTCCAGAGTGGATGGGTAAAGATGGTAGAAATTGTGAAATACTCAGTCCCCTTTCATAAGCAGTGACACATAGTACTCTGTTACACTATCATGCAACACAAAATATGAAAAAGATTACAATGCAAACAATACTACTCACATCTTCTGGAAGCATGAGTCTATGGAATTCGTAGCTGAAACTTGAGGTTGTTCATTGTTCTGTTTCCATGAAGAAGTTGCATTGCTGACAGCCTGTGATGCATGTGTAATGAAGAAAGATGAGCAAAAACACACAGTTAACACACGTAACACACGCAAAACAGACAGGTAACACAAGAGAGAATAATTTCAAGCCTGGAAAACAAGTAATAGTGTTTTGAAGAAAATTTAAAGGAAACTAATTTGAAAACATGAGTGCAGACTCAGAAGAACTAAATATTTAAATAGCACCTAATTACCTCATCAGGGTAACTCTTCTAAAGGACAAAAAAATAAATACTACGTACAACATTAAACCATCAGCCATTCTAGCATAAAGATCATTCATAATATGTAAAACTATGACAGAGCGTCAATAATTTGAAATCATTAAAGAAAACTTGCTTATTTGTTGACAGGAAAAGGGAAAAAAATTAAAAAGAATGTCCACTTCCATGTTTCACTAAGTACAATATTTGGCAAGGAAAAAAAGGACAGTGTCTCACCCACTTATTTCCATGACCTGAAGATGTCTTATTGTTCAATACAGGTTTTACTGAAGGAATTCTTGATGATACAGATGAAGTAGATTCTGGGCCCTCGAGTTGATATGGCTGAAGGCTTTCCAGTTCATTTACTTGACGTTGAAATTTCGGCTTTAGAGCCTCTAACTCGTCTAGCACCCTCAACAGTGTCTAAAAGAAAAAAATAACAATAAAAATTATAAAGCAATGGTAAACTTTACATGCTGTAAGTTAGAGAAAACACATCGCTTCTACAAATGAAAAAACAGTAACCATAACTTTCAATTGTGAAAAGATAAATCAATTGAATGTAAGAGCATCTAGGTCAATATTCCAACAACATTACTGAATACAAGCTAGTATGTTGTAATATAAGCACTCACCTTTCTAGAAAATGCTTTTTCTCTTGGACACAAAAGCTGGTAATCTCGATGGTGTGGTATAGTTTCAGTCACCAAACTAGTCAAATCAATAACAAGGATATTATACTAGTAATATATAAGTACAATATGCAATAAAGCTCGGACAAAAATAGTTTAAAGGTGATGTTTTGTATCCACTTACCTGGAATATCTAAGCAGCATTACATACAAATCAATGATGTTCTTCTCCTCCCGGTAGATACTTGCCTGAGTACGATCAAACAGGTGATGAAAAACTTGTCTCACAAAATTCGAGAAGAATTTACAGGACAGATCAGAGCAGAGGAAGAAAAAAAAGGAAACAATTAAGCACAAACTGGCAAATTCTATTAGGCTAACTTCATATCTTGATCGGTTAGCTGAAATAAGAGAATTTGTACTTCAATTACACAGATAAACGAACCTGCCGGAGTATATTATCCGCGATCCGATAGTAATTGCGCAGCGAGATTCGATTGTCGACGTCGACCTTCCGAGTAATCGCTTTGACGTTGATCGACGGTCGTCTCATTTTCAGTGGACTCCGACGATTGCCGGAGAGGATTTCCAGGTGGAGAACTGTACGAACAATTTTACTTAGACCGAACCCAGAGACGTCACCTAGAACGGAGCAAGTTTGCTTTCCTTTGTGTTATACTCCGTATGTCGACAAAAGGAGTCCATAAAAACTGGTTTTGAAAAAAAGTATGAGCCCGAGCACCTCCGATTTGGACTGATAAGTTAAATTTTAATAGAAGGCTATGCTTAACAAAGTTGAATGAGTCTCCTTAAGAATCAATCAAACTCAAGTCTACTTTCTTCTTCTAAATATGTCTAAAAAGTCATACTTTGTTTGGAGTATCAATTCAGTGATGTTTAGATATTGTATTTAGATTATACTATGCCTTAAGACTTTCACATAAAACATGCCCAAAATTGACCAAAGCTTCCACAATAGTTCTAATTATAAGTAGTACAATTCTGGAAAAAAGTCTAACATATACGTAAAAAATGAAAAGTAGTAGGGGGCCGCTACCAACTAATATGAAATGGGTCCGCCCTTTATCCCAACCCACATTTTTAAGATCTGGTACTACTCCATATATTTATTACACATGTTATATTTAGATTGCAAAATAATTACAGACATAGAGAGTATCTTTCATGATAATTTATGACTCATTTGGGTATAATTTGATCTCAAATAACATGAGACAAAACAAGACAAAATTGTGTCCCGAACTCGTTACGAATCATTAGCATTAATAAAAATAGTATATCGACAATTACTTTTTTTTAGAGCCATTCTATATTAACTCCACTTTTAACCACTTTGGTTCTATTGCATTCACAAACAATACACTAATATTATACAAGGGGACATTGTTTTGTGTCTGTTTGAAAACAATAAAGTTAAAAATGAGATTCATTAAGTTTAATTATTGTTTAACATAATCTTGCATCACACTCTGCATTATTTTACTTGTTCTTCTGATGGGAAGCCGGAGAAAATTATTTATCATGTCCACACATTATTGTCGTCGTCACTTCGGACCCTTCCCTTTCACCCGGTCCCATTCGTACCAAAGTTTTCCTCCAGGCTCCAACTGGACTCACACAGCTACTAAATGTTTGATGCCAAGTCCAACACAGGGACCAATTGCGAAACGCCAAACGGAACGACTTTGGTCACTGTTCGTCGTCGTCGTCGTCACTGAGATAGAGACTCCGGCGAGAAGTTCAAAGCGCCATTTCTACGCTGGTATAAGTATTCGTTTTCTCTTCCCACCTGGTTCAGTTTCTACTTCTCGCCCGCGCTCTGTCCTCCTCCTCCTCCTCATCCCCCGCTCCTTGTCCACACGTATGCGTGTTAGGTCTGTTGTATTTGGGGGATAATTGAATTGATTATTGATTTCAGGTGGCAATTTATTTAGGTTTAGCAAAAAATTAGCTGCTGTTTGAAAGAAGTAGCTCCGGAATCTCGAGATGGAGTACAGAGTATCAGGTCTGCTTGCTGGGTCTGATATTCATGGCTTCCACACCTTGGAAGGCAAGGACTTCTATATCAGTATTTGACTTTGCTTTTTTTTATTATATTTTTGCTGTTATTATAGTACGGAGTATTATACATATAAAATACATAGAGTACTTACTCTTCAAACTTACTTCTTCAGGACAAATGGTTGAATTATGTGCCACTTCACGTATATAGTGTTAATTGTCTTGTAATTTGGCCTCATTTTCAACAAGTTCAGTCAATTTTAACCTAAAAGTGACAAGTAGGATACATGGCACATGTGAGTTTTCACTGTTTATTAATCAGTGACACTGTAAACCTACAGACTTGACAAAATAAGAAAAGACATAATAAATCTTGGATCTTTCCTAAGATGGGTTCTGTGCATGTGCAGATTTGGATGTCAAGACTGTGATGGAGGAAGCCAACATGAGATGGCTACGGCCAAATGAGATTCATGCTTTCCTTTGCAACTATAAGTATTTCACAGTCCATGTTAGGCCTGTGAACCTCCCAAAAAGTAATAACTTCTGGCATGAAAATTCATAGTACCTTTTTAGAACAGTGTTATTATCTTGCTGTTTTATGTATGTGTCTAGTATTTATTTGCATGACATAATATAGGCGGAACCATTGTTTTCTTTGATCGTAAGAAGCTTAGAAACTTCCGAAAAGACGGTCATAATTGGAAAAAGAAAAAGGATGGGAAAACTGTCAAAGAAGCTCACGAGCATTTAAAAGTGAGTAGGTTTATGTGTATTTAATTGTTAATTATTCAATTTTGTGATAAATTTCCAGTTTTTTCGTTATATGACTACCTGCTCATGAAAATATTTAACAATTCACGAATCACAGGGGGTTCATATCTTGATTTTCTCATCCACAGTGTGGTTATTCAGATTTACATGTCTTTCTGAACTGCAAGAGAAATTAAGAGAAAAACAAAAAGCAGTAGGCTTATCGGTTATTATACTAGTGATGGGTTTTGAAAACCCGGGTCTAGAGTAGACTAGACAGTGTAGACACAGAAGAGCTAAGAAATGGAATGAGAATATTCCTCTTGATTATTTCTGACTATAGCTTACCTCTCCCCATGGATTGGGGGGCGTATCTATACTGGCTGCATGCCTTACACAATTGTTAATTGTTATAGCTGTTGTAATGGGCAAGACTCGTATGGCCCGGGGTCCATTACTACGAAAGTACAGTGAATATGCTGTCTATACAGCTGCATGTATTATATTGATACATGCACTATATAGATACATTATACAAATGTATGTTGTTTATGAGTGCGCCCAACGGATTGGACATCAATGTCTAGGAATCTTATGCATTTCACAAAGATCTTTCAAGTCCCAAGCCTTTCCTGTAGTCTGCAGCTCAGCAGAGGACTCTTCCACAGGCCGTCCTTGAATTATGCAAAGTTGCCAAGGTCGTGTGATGTGACCAATTGTTTCGCCGAGTGCTAAGGCCAATAGTTGTGGCCAATAGGTTTGGCCGGGTGCCGGGGCCAATAGGTGTGGCCGAGTGCAGGGGACAATAGATTTAGCCGAGTACTGTCACTTTTTGTGATCTTGCGTCTTGAGCTTCTCTAGTTGGCCTTTGAGTTATTGATTGGGCCGGATACCCCCTTTGTCCAGGGTATCCATCAACTAGTTTTGAAAGTTCATCTTTTATTGCGTTTTTTTATAAATATTTTGAAGGATCTTGTGTGTAGTGCAGGTTGGTAATGAAGAAAGAATTCATGTATACTATGCACATGGAGAAGATAATTCAACATTTGTTCGCAGATGTTACTGGCTGCTCGATAAGTATTTCAATTATTGAGCTCTTGATGAATTGACATTTGTTGCTTTTGTTTCACTCAAAGTTATGAGCGCTTGAGATCTTCACAAAAAAAAGAAAAGAAAAAAGAGCAGGCTGTTTGGTTTTTTTCATGTTAATTTATGTTTGTAACAGGAGTCTGGAACATATAGTGCTTGTTCATTATCGTGAAACGCAAGAGGTTTGATTTTTTGTGCCTTGCATGCTTCATATGCATTATTTACAATTTTACAATACATGCATATATGTATGTCTATGTTATGATTGCCTGGTATACTATGGAAGTTTTCCTATTGCATTGGTAAACTTTTTTATACTATGGTATAGCATCCCTAATGTATCATTGTTTATGAACCATACACTGATACAGTAATTCTTTTATTCTCCTTCCATATTGCAATCCATATGGAGTTCTGTTTATGTTCCCTCTCGTTTCCCTCTTTACTTGAACCAAACAACAACAACATTACCCCACTGCCTCAAAGGTTCCCGCCCATTGCAGGGATTACTTGAACTGAACATGCTGATATATATTTCTGAAAAGTAAATGGATATCTTAAATTCATAATTGCTTGGTATCGAACTTTTTCCTTGTAGATATGGCACCAAGTATCGAGCAATACTATATATGTTTGTCCTTTTTTTGAAGTTGCATGTTCATTATACAGAACAAGACTCACATTTTCCCTCAACTATAATGCCCTATTAGTCTATTAATCACTCTGCATCTCTCGACTCTTCTGTCCTTCCAAAATGGTCAAGATTGTACTAAAACCTATTGCCATTTCTTCTGCCTAAGGTGCCATTTGTTCTCTTTGTGAAGATACATCTAAAAATGTTTTCAATAGTTTTTACGAGCAATGTGTTTAGAGGAACACAAATTTTTCCATCATAGTTTTTAAGACACTTCTAGCAAGTTATTGAACCAAAATTAGTCACCATTACACTACACATGGAACAAGCTAACTACATTAAACCAATTACTCTCTTCACTTTGTTACAATTGGGAATATGATAATAATAAAATTTCTGATTTTGTAAGCTATTATGCAGTTGCAGGGTTCACCAGTCACTCCTGGGAATTCAAATTTCAGTTCTGCCTTTTCTGATCCATCATTTCCTTTGCTTTTATCAGAAGAATCTGAGTCCGCATTTGAATGTACAAATCACTCTGGAAAGCAAGCATGTTTAGGTAGTGTTCTTTGAACTTCATATAGTTCAACATCAACGGTTCTTCAACCTGAAGTGCTTCAATATACAAGCAGTAAAGTTCATACTTTGTATAAGATTTCAATATGAGCTTGCAGTAGAAATGTTTCTCTTTGAAATGAGAATGGGAACACATATTATATGTGTGTTCTGAGAGAGGGTGGGTGGGAAGGAAGGAGCTGAATGTCCAATCCTCCTATGCCTTCAATTAGCTGTATTAAAGTTTTGTCATCTTACTCATTGGCAGAGCTTAATGGAAACATGACAATCCAAAATCATCAACAGACTTTGCATGACATTAACACTCTTGACTGGGATGAGCTTTTGGCACCTGATGACCCTAGCAAGTTGCAATCAACTCAAGAAGGTACTAAATATATTCTTTCTAGATGTTATTTTCATTAGGTTCCTTAATAATTATTTGTATTCTTCATTTTTTTGGCTGGATTACTCAGTTGTAGCAAACGCTTCACCTTGGCAACAACATCAATATGAAACAAATAGTTTCAAACTCATTGTGAGTAGACTGCTTCATAGATGTCACCCTCATTTCTTACAACATTACTTTCAGTTAATACTTATTTTTTCATTATTCTGTTCAAATGGCAATTTGATCTATCTGGCTACTGATGTCTACTGCGTAGGATAACAGTTTGTCAGCTGAGACGTTAGCAGT